AGATACTGTATTGCTTAATAAATAAGAACATTTTATTTATCTATTTCTTGACATATCAGCTACACTTACTATTATTTTTAAAAACCGTATTGAAACCTGTGAGGCATGAAAACTGAGATTTGTCATCACGAAACCAAAAACGTGAATTTTTTTTATCTAAGGCTTAAAATTAGTCAAAATATGAGGAGGAAATAGCAGTCTGAAACCAAACAGCTGTTTCATTTTAACATGTTAGTACTAAAAATCAAACATTATTGAAGTGGTTTATTTCTCAAGTCAAAATACTCATGTGAGCTCGCTAATACAATATTTCAAACGGCGACTCGAATAAATTCAGTCACGTTTTTTCTTATCAAACAACTGTGACTCTGAAATACATGCTAACTTTCAGAAATTGTACAGTGTAAAATGCTTTTAATAAAAACACTTAGATGAGATTTTCAGAACAAAACTGAAGAGAAAATGTTATCTAATTTTGAAACTAGTCATGTCTATGTACTAGCATCTTCAGTGCTTGAACTAGCTCAATAAGACTTCAAAGCTTGTTTGTTTACAGTGTTCGGTCAATGATCAATGTTTGTTCAAATTCTTATAAAAGTCTATTTTTTTAATTAACTAAGATACCTCTAGAGATTATTTTCATTAAAAAAAGAAACTTTATAAAATAGATGGAACGTGGCTAGTAGTGGAATTCAAGACCTACTTGGGACTCATTGGATGTATGCATCGCCAACCCAGTGTTGATGTTTACACTGGGACTTCAACCCAGTATCTTTCGCTTCAAACCCCAACACGTTATTCACTGAGTTACGAAATCCAGATAACCGCTCACTTGGGCAACGAGTATGTTATTTACATCGTTATTAGAATGAATTTGAATTATCCCATCGTTGAAACTGTTGCCAACCAAGATTGATCAAATTCAGTAAACATTATCACCAACGGCATAGGTCAAACCCATTCTGATAATAATGTAAAAATGAAATTATTTAAAAGACGACTTAAAACCAAGGACCACTCGGCAACTGCTTCAGTCAAGTTCCTGACTCAATAGACGTACGAAACGATGGTCAGATAACGGATTAAAAACATGACCTACATAATATCATGTAACCTATCAGTCGATGCACAGTGTACAATATAGCCAATTAATTACTTTATCACTTCTTACTGGTCTATTAATGAAAACAAATTTCAAGTTATATAAATCCATTCGTAAAATAACACCTTAACCTTGGTAAACAAGAGAATGTTTAAATAACCGGTAGATAAATTTACTTCATTTATGAACATATGAATATAGCTGGATGAATTATATATATATATATATATATATATATATATATATATATATATATATATATATATATATATATATATATATATATATATATAAGGTTTCTGGTAGGTTGGTATTGATGTAACAGTCTCAACATAGTACACCAACATAAATAAAAACACAATCTTCTAGAATATAAACTAACTTAGATGTTTATAATCATTATAATGTGAAAGGATACTCAGGATATCAATGAATACAAGTTGATTTTTTATATAAAAATACTATGGTTTATCTTGCAGCTCATCAAAATACTGTTCCTGGTATGACTACTTGCTACAATTATGGAAAAAATGTTACTTGTCACTTCTTACAATGGAACAAGACTGATATGACTGGATGTAAGCAGTAAAGGTAAGACTATATTCATGCACTTTATTTATGCACTAACCACTGATTTACAACAGATCAAATTCTAAAAATTTATATAACCATTCTTTATCTATTTCAACTTTATCACCTGGATACTACGACTACGACTGAATGAATAACCACCACTATCATTATTCAATAAACCTTTATGCTACGAAGAGAGAAATTATACCTCACAACTCATAACTGTTAGGACAATTATAAATCTTGACATTTTCAGATTTCTAGAGAATTCTTGTATCTAGTGTTTTATTTAGATTGATAGCTATAGATAAATGATAATGGATAGACAGCATTGGGAAATAATGGAAAAATATATTTCTTAGACTATTAAATGTAGCACAGTTCTTACTAATCATAAAAATGACATATGATTATAAGTATATTAAATATACTACACACTTTCCATTGGTGAATACTATGAATGTAACAGCTGAAAATACTCTGACAGTAATTCCACCGTGATTTATACAAAGTAACTTATCGGCTATTAAATAATAACTTTACATGAATAGCTAGAAACAAATTATAGTTTACTATGAGAAAGCAAAGATTTTACCAGTTTTCCAAATCTATCATATTAGATAAGTACCAATTCATATGTGACTCGGTTTAATTCTACCTATTTACGACTATCATAAAAATGTTTAATTTAGTTAAAACAATCAAGCAAAAGTCCGTTTATTATGCTCAATTATCAATTTTATCAAAATCATGTATGGATATAATTAATTTAAGAAACAAAATATATAATCTTGTCTAGTATGCTGCAATTATGTAGTAATGAATTATGTAACCAAACTTATATCCAGACGAAAAGAGAAAAATTCCACCCTACACGTAAAATCCTTTTTTTTTACAAATAACTAACTCTAGATATTTCGTAGATATGCATAAAGGTTTAAAGTAAACTAGCTACTTAAAAAAGAAAAGTAGCAAGTAAAACCATAAAAGTTATTTGACTAGGAAGGAAGAAACTAGAAAAAAATACCATTAGAAAATAAAGTATAAAATATGCGACAGTTTTTGTCTATTCCATTATGTGTGTATATCCGTTGTAAAGCATAAATCATAGTTTTAAAAAATATCTCTCCCAACCTATTCTAGTTCCTTTTTTTGCTTTACTTGAGGATTATTAGCAATCAACATTAGACGATTGTCACTGCCCGTCTAATATTGGGCTGATGCTTAACTTATTAGTGGAATTAGTCAAATTATATTTTTTCTTTATTTTATTTTACAATATCTCAGTCTTTTAATATCTTTAGTAAAATGATATAAGTGCAGGGATATGTAACTGATACAGTTGGATTTTAGTTGCCCAGTTCAAAACGTAATCGTGCTGTTGAGACGTAACCGTTTTAGGGTGGATTTTGGTGTTTTGAAATTGCTTAACTAAAAGTATGTCATTTCAGCAGAGTAAATATACTAATGATAATTCATGTAAAATAAGTTATGTCCAATGATAATTCAACGTCACTTCAAGATACCCTATGAAAAGAATAACTTTCCTCTGGCATAATAAATCACATTCTAAAAAGCAATATACAGGAAAAGTCTTAATGGATTACCAGGTCAGTTGATGAATATTTGCCAGGCACGTGGTACTAGTCGGTGTAAAATAAAATCACTCAACTTTATGCAGCTAATGTTAGGTCAAGATAGAGGAAAATGTGAAGAAGTAACAGTTATTAGAACATAATATAACATTTTCATGATAATTTTGCTAGTTTCTAATTAAAGTTGGTCCTAAAGTCACAACATCTAAATCAATGAAAATGTAATGCTCAAAAGTGATTAACTTTAAAGTAAATTCTACAAAGTTTTAATCCGAAGTCATAATTTGTCAAGTAAACTGGGTCAAGACAACACTTCACAGGTAAAATTTGATAAAACATCGACCGATACCCGGACTCGATTACACTTGAAAAAAAAGACAAATTAATGTCAACCTAATCGCTTGAAAATATCATACTCTTCAAAAGACGCGGAAGACCTGCTTTCTCTGCTAAATCTTATCGTAAATGGTCATTTCAACAGAATCCTAAACAGGGATGAATCGATTAACTTATCTTACGTGTTTTTCAGTTGCCCATCACTATATTTCAGATCGTAGTGAAAATTACCGCCGACTTCTATACAACATTCACAGTACCACATAATGGAAACTTTTAATTTTCCTAAAACCATATTTTCAGTAAATGATATTTTAAGAAAACGATACAAAAATTTTCAATAAATGTTACTCTTGTACATTTTGTCTCCCTGTCCTGAAGTCAGTTTCATAAAGTTGAATAATTTCAATTTATTGTTACTTGTAGTACAGAGATAAGTAATTTTCTAGATGCTATAACTTAAAATCAAGCGAAGAATCCGAAACTATTTAGGTTATCGACAAAACGACTGGTCAATACGGTCTCAAAATCATTACACTGGCCAATCAACATCAAAAACTCATAATCTAAACGTGATTAATAATTTGAATACGCTTTTTACTGTTTTTAAATTAGTTGATTATAAACATACTTAGTTAAGAAGCTGATTTACAATTATTAGGATCTAGAAGGACTGTTGTTACGCATTAGTTATGGTATTGAAACGAAATTTGAAATCATGCTAGCGAATTCAGATAAGCACAATTCAAACGACCATCTCAATGCTTTACTGCCATATCTACACGATTTGATTATTACGACATAAATCATTTTAAATAGACTTAAAAAAAACAAATTGATGAAAGTCATGGAATTTGAAATGGGAATACCATTTAGGTAAATTAGACCACTTATGATGACATTATGATAAATTCATTGACCAGTTCAACAAATAAACCATGTTCCTACTACGATTGTCCTAGATAAATGCATTAACTCTAAATAGTACAGGAAGATGACAGGTTCTAGAGATCAACAGTCAAATCACTGATGAACGGCATTTGTTGTAAACATTCAACTGAATTATAATCGTGAACAACATGATTTCTTTAATAAAATTCCGCCTATAGCTCTTCTAGAGTTACTGCCGGTCCCAAGCCCGGGTTAAGGAGGAGGGGTGGGTAAGGGGTGGGCAAATCCATACCGTGGAAAAGAAATCTTGCAAAAAAAGCGCCAACCACAATGAAATAAACAAATATCTAGTATGAACCTATAGTACAGAAAAGGAAAAAACATGTCATCGAAGTTAACTGGAGCTTTTAATTCTTCTCATTGCTTTTCCTTAATTCAATAATAACCATAAGTCGATAAACCATAATTGATTATTTAAAAGGAAAAAGGATTAATAAACTTACTGGCTTTGCATGGGTCAAGCCAATTGCTTTCTGGATATAATATGGCCAAATCTTTCTCTGGCTCAAATTTTAGTGACTTTGGTATAAAATAGTTTATTTTTTCATGTAACCTTTCAACGAACAATGTGTTCTTTGATATGTTATGATCTTTAAAAATCTTTTTGTGCGTCGATTTTGAATTTGTTTGAGTTACATTAGAAAATCTACTATTATGATTATTAGTAGTATTAATATTCATTTTGTGCTTTTTGACTTTGTAATTATGTGGTTTCTGAAAATATGAACCATTATATGATTGAAATTGATTCTTGATTAATTGACTCCCGGAAACAGATGAACCAGGATGAATGAAATATACTTTCGGTATATTTATTATTGTTTCTTCAGTTACATGTGGATTCAGCCAAACCAACTGTATGTTTACAATTAAATGTACAAATGCATTTATTAAGATAAAGAAATGATCAACAGGAAAATTCATTTGAATAGTAGTATATTCAATATATTTGTGTGTGCGTGAGATATAAATTCCGGTACAAATTGGTTAATAAAATCTTGATTGCAAACTGAGCATAAACTCAGTCATCAGTACCCTCTCATTCTAAGTAGTTTTTTTTAATAGTTGATTTCTAATCTATTTACTTGCGGATACACTGACTTATCTTTATAATTATTACTGATACACCTGAAGGATATATGGAGTCATCGAACAATTTACTTGGATGCATCAACTATTAGAAAGCAGAAATTTCAGTACATAGAAAAGAGCTTGCTTTAGGATCATTTTCGGACTTCATAATTGTCGATGAATAAGCGCATATTGATTAACTGATATGTGTTGTAATCTTGATTTCAGTCAATACAAAACTGTACAGAAACAATTTTGAGATTAGATGAGATAATGCTATTAGAGTTACGTAGGGTATTATCGTCAAAAGGTCATAATTTATGGCATTGACCAATAGAGTTACTATCTCGACCCTATCACATATACATATATAGTGGAGCTTTAGACACACTGCCTACACACATATACACGTATGTTACAGACTTACAAGTCAGTCTCCCAATCAATCGTAAATTTTTAATAGTTTGCATTATTTGATTGTGTATACGTGCATGTATACACCAGTAGTGTATGGCAAATTTTTTATTTCACTCAACACACCCAACAAACATGTGTGTACAAAGACAGCTGACGCATATCAATTGATATTATATTATACTACAGGCCTTAACATTCGCTAACAATTCATTGAGTTCTTAAGAATAGAAATGTTCATGTATTGGTACAGTACAACATCTCAAAGATCGGTACAAACGAAAACTTAACTACAAAGAAAATGCTTGAACATATTGTTTTATGTTGTATTCATTTTTCTCGCAACCATGTATATCAGATTATTGGTTTTTATAATTCATGAGATAAAACAAGTGTTATCGACATTATGAAATGAGTCACATACGGTCTAATTTTATATAATATGTAACTTCATTGTAGTGTTTTATCCTAAGATTTTAAGTTATAGAAGTTGAGGTGATCGATTCCTGTCTATGGAATCAGTTTCAACTTGGAATGCTAATATTCAGAGAACCATTGAATATCAGGGTAAATTGTTTCGTTCTACTACTCAAGTTCTTTAAATTGAACAACATAGATTTGTCATTCAATCGAGTCTCAGGATTTCAAATTTCTGGGAAAAGCACGATACCGTTCAATAATTGTGAAGTGACCAGTATATTGTTTGTCTAGTCCTTTTAGTGCTGATCGAACTTGATTCATTAAGTTGCAATATGACCATCAGTCTAAGTGACTTGACATTTCATGAGCTATGTTTTGAGATATCAAGTGATTGGTGCTGCGAAACAGAGTAGAACAGCATAGAATCATTCAGAGAGCTCAAGTTCCCTCAAGATTACAGATACAGCTTACTGACGAGTGTCGGATAGCTGGAAATATAGGATGAGGGTGCGCAATCGACTACCGTTAACCGTCTAACGACTAATATTCTTGAATAGATCATTTTTTGATGGAGAATTTCCATTTGTGTTTACAAGTTTGATTGTACACAAATCGACCAACATATAGTTCACATTTTAATCGTTTAAAGATCCCCGTCATATTAAAAGACTAGTATTTGAACGAAGAATATTCTCTTCGATAAATTCTCTTCAGGTTCTACAATTATATATTCAAATTAATGACCCGAAAAATGGCCAAGTTAAGGGCAAATTACATCGTTTAAAGCATGTGAATTTAGGATTGTGATAAACAAGATACAATAGAATTGTTAATGTTGATATGACCCATACAGAATGTTAACTTGAATCTGCGTATAAGTGAAATTTTAAGATCCATGATCAGAATAAATATGGGTCAAATAGGGTGAGAAAGAAATAATAGTGCAATTACAATTCGATTAAATAAATAAGACGTAATACGGAGGGATAAATGCGAAGTGAATGAATAATATATGGGGGAGATTAATGATGTCTAACCAATAGTACGAATAATAATAATAATAATAAAGCAAAGATTTATGAGTACAGATAACAGAGACAATACAATTGGCTGAGAAAGGTCATAATCAAATTAGGTCACCCTATTTGACCCATATTTACTCTGATCATGGATCTTAAAATTTCACTTATACGCAGATTCAAGTTAACATTCTGTATGGGTCATATCAACATTAACAATTCTATTGTATCTTGTTTATCACAATCCTAAATTCACATGCTTTAAACGATGTAATTTGCCCTTAACTTGGCCATTTTTCGGGTCATTAATTTGAATATATAATTGTAGAACCTGAAGAGAATTTATCGAAGAGAATATTCTTCGTTCAAATACTAGTCTTTTAACAGTTCACATTGTTATGATCTAGGTCAATCAAAATCAATTATGAATATCACTTAACGAAAAGTACAAGCTCACACATTTGGTAATAAACATAATGATTGAACGTGTTAGTGTATATTGTGACTTCGTATATCAGTCTATAATATTCTTGAGTTTGAAGCGATGATGACTGATTTTGATTCCAGCTGAAACATGAACAACAGAATACAGTTACGTACAGCTTATAAGTCCTAAACAAATGAACTATGAGTTCTAGATTTGACTGCTAACTATCATCCAAAGCATAATCAAGCCGCTATGTTGTAAGACTGCTTAATATATAGGCCACGTCCAGCTTGCTTCAAATGTCAAGAAAAAGTTCATTCTACGAAATACAATTGACTTTTAGGTGCTAAACGTTCATAAACTATGAAATATATGTCTATGACATTTTTTTCAGATATTAAAAGATATGAGACTAAGCTATTATTATTATTATTATTATTATTATTATTATTATTATTATTATTATTATTATTATTATTATTATTATTATTATGAGTTAGTTGACATTTAGCAAACCGATGATCAGAGATGAAATTTAAAAGTACAAAATCACTCATGATTATTCATTTCATTCAACTGTAATAATGTCCAACAAACTAATATCATGTATTTACTAATACGCAACATAAAACAATTATAAAAACACTATACTAACGATCTTTAATGAATCGAACAGGTTTACTATAGTTACTTTAGGAATTTGTCGCGAAACTCAAAGAGCAATGAAGGATTTCATGTATTGTATTTTAAAAAAATACTTAAAAATTGTCTATATCTAATACTTAAAATACTTAAGATTGGTAGAAATATCTTTTCGTTAACCACATCAAGAATATGATGTGATAAGTTGACGAAGTTACAAGAAATACCTACACCTGATGCAGATTGTGTTAGGTCCTGAGAAACATAATGAATGGTAACTTTGGGATCCTTTTATAAACCAATACTAAACGTATATTTTTATCGTATAATTGTTAAATAACTAAACTACTCATATTCATGTTCCTCTTATTATAAGCTTTATTTTTACCTCTGGACCATTATTATATGTTTTACCATTGTTGAATTATGCACTGTCTATTAGTCACTGCCCGCTAATCGGCGGTCACAAGTTATAACAGATTGTATCTGAGAGTACTTGATATGATTCAATAAGTGTCAAAGATGATTCTGTGAGTAAAAAAGCAATCCGATCTTTACACTTTCAACAATTACACACTTAACTTCACACTTCTAACCCTGGTACTCCTAATCGTAATACCTAACCCTAATACAACTAACCCTCCAAAATCTAGCTACTAACATTAATATAACTATGGTTAAACTTTTAATGTCTAACCCCCACCTAGTTTCATTTACCATCATAAATAACTCAACATGTTAGAGTTCATTATTATATCAAAAATGTTTATCCTCTGCAATTTTATTGTTTTATTTTTAAGTTTACATTAATATTTGTTTGGTGAATATTTAAATATTTTTTCTGTATTTACAAATTTAGTATTACAAATGCTTTATGAGATGATTTATACTCATAATACCAATCACCAGTTTGATATCTTTATCAATATCAGAAGGGGTTTTGTGGAGATTTCTAGAAATTTCAGTAGTTGAAATGATATGTAAATTGAAGCTAGACCACCATGGAAAACCTGGAAGCGCGAGACTGATAGGTCTTGAGTTCGAATCTAGCGGGGTGGGGGATCGTGGATGCGCACTGCTGAGGAGTCCCACACTAGGACTAAACAGCCATCCATTCAACATTATCTAGTAAGAGACTTGTTACATTTGTAAATATTTCATAGCCTTAAAACCAACAAAATGAACATATAGTTTTCTAAAAACTGTAACCTGTATGCTAATTACTTGTTCTGTATTTTTTGTTTTCTTTTTCTCGAAATTAAATGGGTAAGGTAACCTGTAGAAAAAATATTTTATAAACCAGAATTCATATTTGATAATAAAACAAAAAAATATTTAAATTAAATAAATAAGCAAAATAATATTTTTCGAAGGTAAGTAAAAGTTATGATGTTTAGTGGGAAAATCTTTTTCTGTCTTTGATTTTTACCGAACAGAGAATCATTGGAATGAAAGAAATATGTACATATTCATTATTTTTGTTTAATGCATAGAAATGACACTAGCTGGAGAACTGTTTATAGTTGAAAAAAGAACATTGGTAAGCTACCTTATCTGCTTTAGACTCACTAAAAAGGGGAATAGAGAACTCAAGTCAATGTTGATTCTCCCGGTCTCCCACATTATCTAGATATTCCATATACCTATATTAATTGTTGTTGTAGACATAGGTCTAATGACTTTCAAAGAAACTCGGCTTTCACCATGAGGCTTCATAATTCTTTTGAATGAATATCCTCCAACTCAGAGGTCAAAGTTTAAATTGTTTATTCTGGCTAGCGCTTTTTAAGCATGGTTGTTTTCTACGGGATGGAGTTGTTAACGTTATACCAAATCCTCTTTCTTTACCCAGGCTTAGGACTTGCAGTAACCCCAGAAGAGCTACAGGCTGAATAAAGCCAATACATGATTGGAGTAAATATTTTTTGTAAGGTCAAAGTCTCATTGAAAGTTATTATTATTGCAAACAATTAATTTCACTGCATAGCGTTTATAAATAGATATCTATCAATGATCAAATAAGAGCCTATTTTAAGACAGAGTTTAATCATTTCCATATACATATGAGACGAATTATTTCACCAAGTATCTTATTATACATGTCCTTATCCTCACTAACATTTTACTTTTGGTCATGTAATTTTATTGTCTTTCTAGGGAGAACTATCAATACAAAGTTATACAATCCTTTATTTATGGGTTATATAATTATAAATTTCAAAGTTTTTTATATTTAATTATTTATCGCTAGCTGCTCTATACAACTATAAGAATGATAGGCGATTATAATGAATTCATTAAAGGAAAATAAACTTTATTATTATTACTTCGATTCATTTCA